GGAGCTAGCTTTGTGTCTACCCTCTAGTCATTCGAACCAGAGCTCCGCCTTCTGAAGTCTCCTCCCCTCCCCCATTTTCTGCCTGCATATATACCTATTACGGTTAAGCCTATTGGCAGTATTAAAACTTGCGGTTCGTGTGAAGGAAACGCCTCTTCGCAACTGGGCGTGCATCTTCCACCCCAGGGGTCGTCGGGAAGAAGCGAATGGTTTGTCCTTCCCTCAGTCAGACAGCCCGTGTACCTCCAGCCCCCCAATGGCTGTTTTTTTCTCGCTGTCCGTATCAATGCCTTGGGCAAATTGGTCTCGAGAAAGAACTCCAGGCCCTCCACAATGTAGAGTTTGTATAAAAGTCTAGAAGGAAAGGTCCCATGCATTCCGGCCTGTTGTATACACCGAGACGGCACCGCTGGATACCAAAATTTTTAAGGTGAAAACTTTACTCGTCTTATTACGCGAAAAGCTGTCGGCGTTGTCCCCGAAATACGGTCGTAAAACTATGTCGTCAAGCATGCGCCTCAGAAATAAAATGCAAAGAAAAGCACAGTGACGCAAATGGTTCGTCACGGAAGCCGTCGTGAGGCTGGCAGGGTTCGCCACGCCAACGCAGTGGGGGAGCGCCATATCACCATCGGAGCGCCGTGTGCGAGAGGAAGATTTGGCACGCTGCTTGTAAGAATGCGCTGCATGTAGGAATGCTTTTGCATTCCAACATCTAAGCAGTCTTAAGTGTCTTCGGCGATTTTTCATTCTGCTCCGGCCAGCGGCGACCGGGTGGCTCTTGTGACGCTCAAAGTATGCCTGGATCCCGTGGTTCAATTGGCCCGACCGTCATCTTTATGCACTGTGCGATCCAAACCAGACATAACACTTCTCCCCCCGATTTAGAGATAGTCATGCCATATTGTTCAGGAGGCTGTCTGGGGCACTGAGCTGTGGACAATATTGGAACGCTGTGCGAGTTGGGAAATGCTGTTATTTCAAAACTTCATTATATTGCACTAAATTTTTCTCTCTGGGTAAATATCTACCGCCTGCGTTCACGCCGCTTCTCGACGATAGTATGCGGCTGTACATTAAGGAACTATTAACCCGCTTGGCCCCACCGTACAACCAGCAAACCAAGCTAACCCAAGCCGCCGGAAAGGGAGTGCTATTTAGTTCAGCAAAAGTGAAGCAGGCACCTTTCAACTAAGCTACGCTACCTTTTCCCTTTTCTTTTTATTGCGAATTGAAGCTTTTTGTAACCATTCGTTTTATACCAGACCCATCAAGTTTAGCGTCGTGCGTATAGCCATTGTAAAATATACTTCTAACGAGTTGGCATAATTTCGGTTTGCTTCAACTCGTTTGGCGCCAATTTCGAAACTAGGGCATGCCCTCTTGCGAAAACGGGACATGACTCCTTATTGGGACAAAAAGACGGGACGGCAGAAGCGGACCTCAAAAACGGGACTTTCCCGGCCAAAACGGGGAGTCTGGTCACCCTAAGCATGGCAAAAGGAGGAAAGCCTCATCCAGGTCCGGCCATCCTCGTCCGGCTCTGCCCCCGTCCCCAAGGAGGTTATTTGCCCGTCCCCCTCCGGCTTTTGGCGGCCTTTTGCGGTAGCAGATAGAGCCGATGGTTTTGTTGACCTCGGATAGATGGCGCCACTAAAACTCCGTATAATAAAAGTTTTGTCGACGATACCAGCTTTTGGACGCATTTATATTTATGTTGGAACTACAAGATTTATAGAAAAATTCCCTTTTATTGAGCAGGTTTTGCACAACTTCCCATCTTTTTACAAGTCCCCCATGATTACGCAGCAAAATCACAACTTTTCGAAGGAAGGAGGTGTGTTTTCGGTCCTTTGTGACAAGATAAACAATGTCAAAAGTAGAAGATGCAAATTCTTTCAACGTTAAAATCGTTGCACAGCTCCTTTAAGCAGCAGGGCTCGCTTTTTGTCCAAGCTGTAATTGAATTTGCCACGAAGTAGAACCCTATACGTTCTGTTCACGACGACCATGACTTGCCCGCAAAGGCTTCGATCCTTCCTTTGGTCGGCATGGCTTCCGGCCCTCTGTCCAGGCTTCGTTGGCTCGTACCCAATCTCATCACCAGCATTGTAGTTGCATACACGGGGACAGTACCATCGAATACGAGTGGTTTTATTCTGCACCGGCAGACTCTCCCGAGGCTCGAGAGTATCTGTACGCTCGAATCCTGTGCCCCAATCGTCGTCTTCATGCACTGCACAATCCAAACTGAAACCAGACATAACACCACCGCTTCGGAATGGTGGGGCAGACATCGGTGGTCTTAGTGGGTGGTCCCGATGGGAACATATCGCGAACGACGCCGTAGTATAATCGAAGAAGCAGCAAAACATCATCTGCGATGCCTGTGCCTCTAGTCGGGGTCAGTTCGAGAGTTTAGGGGAAGCTTCTCCCACCTCTCCCCTTTAGCAAAGTGGGTGCTGGAGAAAGGGTCTCTAGCATTCGCTCTGCTCATGTGGAAAGAGGAGCTTCCCCTCAACTCTTGACCTGTCGCCGACTATGGTATTTTTCCAGCTTACTTTGCACAGAAACAGCGGCAGCTCGCATTGTATAAAAATGAAGTTGACAAGAACTCGAACGACTTCAACTCGCTGCAACAAAACAAACACGCCCGACGTTTATTGTCAGCTTTCTTTCTCCATTCTCCTGTCGGGACCAGCGATTTGCCGCGTACTGGTCCCGTCTTTACTCGCCTGCTCCAGACGCTGCGTCAGCGTTGAGCTGCGTGCACCCGGATCCATACCGCTCCCGTCCCGGCCTCAAACAACGATGACCACCGTTTAGAATTGTCGTCGATGCTTTCTCGGCAGACGCTGGTCTCTAACCACCTGTATGTTTTGAAAGCTAGTTTGGCTCGTGTACCTGCTCCAAGCGTACCTATCAATTCCTTTTCACCAGTATCTCCCGACCCGTCCGTAACGTTGCCCCAAAAATTTGCCATCGGTTTCCTATTTCTCCCCTTTTGCGTCGACACTCCTCACCGACCCATTTCCCTCGGTCGATCCTCAAACCCCGTCTCACTTCCTTGCCTTGGAAGGACATCCATTCCGATACTGGCCTCCGCCCACTCCGTGCCACTCAATTTCAAACCTTGCTCGAACTTCTTCGCTCGCAGCATCTTTACTGGTCTTCACGTCACCGAGATATTCCGCACCTTCGTCTCTCTGTGCCCCTGGCACTCTGTCCCACATTTTCCTCCACTCTGCTGCTGTCTCGCAGCTGCTGCGCTCCACCCGTTTAGTGATACCACCTTGCGCTTCCTTCACCCCCCCCCATTAATATTATTTATTAGACTCTTATATGTACATGCGCAGGCTCAATGAAGAATGTATGCAAAAGGATTTGTGCCTCAAGTTTAGTATTCCAAATACTCCACAATGGCCTTCGGACTTAGTTTTGTTTACCTGTTTTTCGGGCAAGCAGACTTCATTTTGAACGTTACTAAAAATCCTCATCGGTGCAACATTTTTAAAATGCTCAGTTATATGGCTACTTTTCGTCGGACCTCAATTACCCTGGATGCCACATGTTCTGGCACACAACATTCCCGAAGTGCTTTCCCGCAGCCTGAGGAATTTGCCCAAAATTTAATGTGGATTGCTGGTCCGAGCTTCTGGTAGGGCTGAAGGCCTCCTGGGGACTGAAGGAATCATGAGGAAATTGTAAACCGTTACGAAGCACATTCGTGTCAAATGCCACATTGCAAGTAGTGGACGAGCTGGCCGATAAACCGGGACGGACAGACCAGTTTCCCCCTAAACAAAAATGAAGCATTCTGCGCAAGAGCTAATAGCAGCACGTACAATTTCAGGCATCTAATCGAGCTATCAGAGTACCAAATTTATAAATGAGCCTAAATAAAATTGTGACCAGTTCTCCAGAAACAAATAAACCCAGATTTACGCCTCCGGCCCTCGAGGCTCGTAACAGAATTGTCGCTTGCGTGCGGGTGCTAGCAACAAGGAATTTTTTCCACATATCGACGGCACCAGCACCAACTAAAAATCGAGGAAGAGATCCACCTGCACTACCAATCGATAATGGGAGCTACGCTACCAGTTCCTTCGCTCTCTGAGCTGCAGCGCGTGCCCAACGAGACTTTAAAGAGGGGCATCCATGGCGTCCACCCAACCGTCGTATTTTTCTTTCCGTTCACTTTCTTTTTTTGTGTAACATAATTATATATATGCTGCAATTACGTGTTCTACTCGCCGATTCACAGCCTCTTTTTAAATTTCCTCTACCTTTCGTGCCGAGTTCCGCCGCTTGGCATCGGGCGCTCGCATGTGCGCAGAACGCTTCTCAGAAAAGGCCCATTGTGGAGTGGCTCATGCAGTAAGGGTTCATATTGACTTGCCTCGCTTATTTTTCCGCAGGTGGTCGGCAGATGGTGTAAAAGTCTCAATTTTCACGAGGACCATAAAAAAATATAGAAAAAAATAGATAACACAAATATATTACTTTACGGTAACAGACAGCACGCCACTCTCAATCGCAAAATATTGAGCCTGCAAAAATAGTCATTTGCAGTATCTGCTTGCGCCAAGTTCAGTACGAGCCTAGCTCGTCAACGTGGATCCATCTCCACATTGTTCAGGGTGGCTCGTCTGCATTCCCCGGTTCGTGCACTAAACTGTTTTGGATGAACCAGGCTCACTCGTAGCTTAGTTTGAGGCTGCGCCAACAGAGGGTAGCACAGTCTTTTTTTTTTTTGCTCACATTCCATTTGTGGCTAGAAATTTAATATTGAAGGCAACAAATGTTTTAAGACAACTAGGTGGATGAGGGTCGGAAATTCCCCAAAAATAAAAATTGTTAACTGTGCGCAGGAAATTAGTGGCAAACGTCTTTGGGAGCTTTGCTTTTTAACTTTTACCGCTATTGCATGCCCCTTCAACTGTCAACTTGGCAACGCACCATACCTCGCCAAGAACCACGAGGTGCCAAACGTTCTTTTCTATACCGCACATTTATTAAACGAGGAAGAGTATGAAATGCTCGACGGGTCAGAGAAAGAAAACTCCTCGCCACTTGGCATGGAGGGCCGTCCAGGAACATTCGGACTGGATGAAGATGAGCTCAGCTGAGCAGGTAGCCCCTGAAAAGACAGTCGGGTAATATGTCAACAACAGATCCGAGACTGGCAACTGCGTGAAAAGAGGGCAAAATCATTGGGAGGGCACGGGTGCCTTTGAGCTAGAAAAGTTACTCCGGCATTACCGTACCATACCGAGCGTGCACCCATGTCGCAAAAACAAGTACCCAGCCAATTTCCGGGCCCACCGAGCTAACGGAGTTGGTGTCGAGTGAACCTTCACGAGAGCGGCTCTCGCCGTGTGCCCCTCCTGCTTGCCTCCTCTCGGAACTCCATTTCTTCCCCATTATCTCCACCTTTTGGGTGGGATCTCACTCCGTATTTTATGGCGAGTCATTAGGTTACAGTCGCAGTTACTCGGGCTCAAATGCAATCGGGTTAAGAGTACAGCTACGTTCTCACAAATGTAGTATTGTTACTCGGAAGAAGCTAAGTTGCATTCCAATCACACTTTTAAGATACATCCCCCAACATTGAGGTACATTCGATTTGCTCGTTTTCGTTACTCGAGAAATAAAATCTAGTAATAAAATACATAATCTGAGCTAAGACGAAATTACCTTCGAGCTAAAGCAACATTTCAATGAGGGCATAGATCATCATCATTTTGAAGAGTAACTAGCGTAAAATCTTAAACACGCACCCGTGTCCCAATAGGCGCCCACCCGCTACTTTCAAAGCATTTGAAAGCTAGACCGAGGTAATGTCCGGAACTCTAGGCTTCCGAGCCCACGCAGCTAAACAAGATGCTGCTCCCCTTTTCTTCGAGCTTTCCGGTGCAGCCCACCCCATCGTGTGCCCCTTCCGTATTTCTCATCTTGAAGCTAGCAAATGCCCATCCCCCAGCTAGTCCAGATCATCCCCAAATATTGGGTGGGCGCTTGCTCGGTATTTTAAGGCAAGTTATGCCTAATCCCTTCCATGATATTTTGTAACGCCCGAGTCTGCCGCAATTGCCGACCAACACTCCAGTTTCAAGTGGGAAAAAGATGTCGGTGCGCTTCGCGCGATCAAGTTTGAGGACGTGAAAAAGCGTAGCGCCGATTACGAAACAAATCAAGCTGAATGGGTCTTCTGTCAAATGTTGTTCAGCAATAGTGCGCACGACTATGTGTTTACATTATTCCATGTTGTATCACTAGGGGATCTGCTAGACCGCTATGCTATTTTTCTTATTTTGTTTTCAATGTGTAACTTTTTAGGCTGTTCAGTGATGATCTGCATATGCACCGGTGCTTTTGATTCCCTCTGTTTTTCGCTGAAACGTTGTGAACTGCCAATTTGCGTCATGACGAACGATTCTACCACCGTAAAATACTGCAGAAGCGCCGACTTTGTTCAAGCGCCCACTATTAATGTTTCCCAAACTTGGGAATTCCGCAAACTGTACGTTAAGCGCCCGATTTGACCGCACAAGTGCCCGTGTCTACATTAGCCTAGTTTTCAGTATAGGTGGGGTGGGCACTTCTCTGGTATTCTGTTTTTTGCACTTCCTGCTTGGATTTATTCAATGGTCAGCAGTACAAAAAGACAAATAAATGTAGGGTGGTCCAACTTACCAGGCTCAATCTAAAATGGACCGTAAAAATCGACACCTGCCCATAGCAACCTAAACTTTTCGTCAAAGGTGTATTTCACAGGTCGGTTTTTTTTTTTGTAACATGACAAAGCGTAGTTCTCTTTCTGTAAAAAATAAGGCCAAGAAACTTGACAGCGTCTACGGCGGGCAGTGGTGCAGATGGCAGGGGTTCAGTAGCGGGGTGTGTTTGGCGTTCGTATCGATAGATGGTGTCAAGAGCAGCGTTTGAAGGTGCAGCCGACCAGCGAAAGAAAGCAGACACCACGCAGATGAAATCCGTTGGCAGCAAAAGCACCGCCGTTATGCAGACGTGTTTTTTTACTTTAAGCTTTGCTTTTATTGTTCACATTTATTTTTTAACCAAAGGCACATTTCAAAAAGATTATGTTCATTTTAATAAACCACTAGGGATGCCGCGAACTTTTTTCGAATCGAAGTTTCGATGATCGAATCAAGCGGTTCGAAAGGTTCGAAAGATTTCGATTTTTCGAATTGTCTATATCGTAAAATTCGACGGAGGTCGAATTTTCGAACTTGTTAAGCTAAGAAGTTCGACGCTTTTCGAACCGTCGAACTTATTACGCTAAAAAATTTGATCTTTTTCGAACTTTCGAATTTATTGCGCTGCAAGGTTCGATGCTTGTCGAACTTTCGGACTTGACTGACCAAAAAATTCGATGAATTTCGAACTTTCGAACTTATTTATCAAGAGAATTCGAAAAGTTTCGAACTTTCGGATTCTGAAAGGTCAGAAGTTCGACGAACTTCGAACTTTTAGGGTAAAAGTTCGACGTTCGTCGAACTTCGAAAGACCGGCGGACGGTTTCATTTGATTTCAAGTAGTGGGGTACATTCGTAATTTTTTTTCCTCGAACTTTTACACGCGGTGCTGCGTTCCTTACGAAAGACAATGTCGTTTATTTCAATGCTCTGGCATGCTTAGGTTTAAAGAAATAAATCCCCGAAGGGGCGAGGAAGGACGACGGGTTTTTGACGATTATCGTTTGTGCCAGATTTGAAGCACGCTGCAGCCGGAGCTATTTATGGTAGATATGTTATACTTTTTTTAAGAATGATCTATGTATAGCCTAGGTAAGTGCCGTCTTAAGATGTGATTATTGTTATTCAACGTGAGTTTCGAAGAAATGTCCAAACATGTATCTGCATGCAATTATAACCTAAACTTGATATTTATTTTCGTCTAAGTTGTTTGAGGTATCGCATTTAAATTAACACCACAGACAGTACATATCATTGCCATCTGCAGAATACGAAATAATATAGTTATTGTTTTTTCACGTTAAGGAATAAATTAACTCATGGGAGAAGATTTCTAATAGTGTTCAAGTTCAGCACGTCATTAAAAGAAAACTTTTTTTTTTTCGCTTCACGTTCCTGGGACGTGTTTCTTTTAGCCTGTACACATTTTGGTAAAAGAAACTTGTTTCGAAGTTCTGAACCTCTGAATATGCAAGAATAGAACACTTGCGACGAATTCTTGATAGTTTTCTTTTTTTTTCTCCTGCTTCTTATTCCCGCATTTATTCTTTTTTTTTTTGTTACTATCGGCACAGGTGTTTAGGTCGAAAAGACAGCTTTGAACTTCCGAACCACTAAGCATGTGACGAGCAGTGCCTTCTGACAACGAGTTTCTAACAATGACCATCTACGCAACCTTTTATGCAGTGAAGAGCGACAGTAGCTATACATATGCATAAATAATTTCAGATTAAAATAAGCTCGACCACGCCCTCTTTCCCCGTATTGTTTTCTTTAACAGTTCGAAATACCTGCAATGGGGAGAAGGAGGCTGAAGCCCCCCCCCCCCCCCCCCCCCCCCCGCTACCCTCTTTCCCCCCGTTTTTCCTCTTCCGACGCCACTTGTATGGTAGAACGCTCCTCGACCTCGAGTTGTGTCGGCTTTTGTGCTTTTTGCGAGGCGATTCCTCCGTCCCAGAAAATAAACCTCCAGGACAATTATAAACTTCACCGGATCGGACTACTACCAGCGTGCAAGGGGTGGCGAGCTAGTTTGCCAGGTCGCTTCAAGGTTTTCTTGAGCCTCAACCTCCTGCTCGCCCCTGACCGTTTCGAACTGGATGAGTCTCGTAAAACAGTGTGTTCGTGCAATCACTACTGCGTGATGCAGGTTAAAGACCCCCCGGGGCTCGCGGTCACAATTCTGCACTGGCAAATATTCTAGCACGTCCGGGACACTCGTCGTCTCATTTAATTGCCTGACCAACTTCGCGCAGTCTAAATATCACACCCTAACTTTTCTAAACTTGATTTTGTGAAAACCAGTGAGTCGTGAAAACGTTATTTGAAACTGAAACTGTGGAAAAACTTGAAAATCGGACTTCGAACTTTGAAAACTTGGATTAGAAAGAAATTCAAAATCTTCAAAGTTCTTTTTTTTTTTTTTAATTTAGCGTTAAAAGAGAATCGAAACCTTCGAACTTTTCGAACTTTATGCAAAAAGATATTCGAAATCTTCGAATTGTTCGAACTTCATGTCTATAAAAATTCGAAGCGTTCGAAGTTTTCGAATTTTTTTTACAAAGAATTTCGAGATCTTCGAATTTATCGAACCTGAAGTAAAAAATATTCGAAATATTCGAATTCGAAATTTTGGAAACCATGAAAGCTTCGAAAGTTTCGAATTCGAAACTCCGCTGTGGTCAAAAGTTGCGAATTTTTCAAAATCGAACCTTGGTCGGTACGAAAATATCGAAATTTTTCGAAATCGAACCTCAGTTCGCTTTGCAAATATCGAAACCTTTCGAAATCGAACCTAGGGTGGTTCGCGACATCCCTATAAACCACGGTGGTCACAAGCCGTCGCGGTAAGAAGGTAGCGTCATCTATCAATACGAACGCCAAACACACCCCGCTACTGAACCCTTGTTGTCTGCGTCGCTGCCCTAGGTAGACCCTGGCAAGTTTCTCGGCCTTATTTTTTTACAGAAAGAGAGCTACGCTTTGTAATTTTAAAAGAAAAAAAACGATCTCTGAAAGACACCTTTGACGAAAAGTTAGCTACGTGCAGGTATGGTGCCTGGAACGCGTCTCCGACTGGTGTGTTTACCGCGCCCAAAGAAAGTGGTCCCTCGATTTCCGCCTGATTACGTCATAGAAGTGTCATGTTGTCGTCGGTTGCGATCCTATTGGCGTTCAAATAGTTGTGACATCTATAACAGACGCCTGTCCTGCTGCAGATCGCTCTCCACTGTGACAGTCCACGGAAGCTACAGCAGCCGCAAGTTGGGACGCCTGGGACGCCGTGACGACAGCGACACTCCCGTTCGCCTGTGGTTTTCGCCAGCATTTGTACGGCCAACCGCCAGGATCGCGACATGCAACAATATGACACTCCGGCTTGTGTGACGTCATTTGTTGCCACTTTGGGACCACTTCTGATGTATGGGTGGGATAGGACGCTAAACACACCAGTCGGAGACGCGCTCCAGGCACCATAGTGCAGGCGTCGATTTTTACGGTCCATTTTAGATCGAGCCTGGTGACTTGGACCACCCTATATATAATGTTTTGACACATAACTAATTTGACTAAGTTATGATTTAAGCCAAAAGAGCAACTAAATTGTGGCAAATTTTCTAAACATATATTAACTTGGGAATTATTTTCTTATCATAAAGTAGTACATGCACAATGAAAAGTGAGAGGTTTACAAATCTCTTCAATGCGAAATGAGAATGCAGCTCTTGAGGTTTTTTGTGTTTTTTTTTTTGCGATATACCCCCCTCCCCTCTGGTTACGCCGACAAACACGGGAACAAGTGCCTAAGAGTAGCCACGTCCCACTGGAGCGACGGACAGCAACAAACGACAGCCACACACGACTACGAGCGACCAACGACACAGACAGACGGCCTGTTTGTCGGAGTCCAATGTCCCACCTGGAGGACACGACGCAGAACACAGGGGACAATGTAACTTGTTTCTTAGTGGGACTGAAGTTGTCAACAAAACACTTCAAAATACACAGACAGACAGAGTCTGGCAACGCGGTTTTTGTGTTTCGCTCCTTGGGCGGACAACACTCATACAAACACAGTGAAAGTGGAGACAATTTCTTCATTAAAGCTTCCGCTAGTCTTCATTTGCTGTTGGCGACTTTCCGTAAATTGTCGTGACGATCGACACCAAACTTTTTCCGAACTAAATCCTAGAATCGTTCATTATTTGGATCATTTGAGGTGCGCCACCACGGAATTTCACGCCGATTCTGAGGAGGTTTCTATCCAAATGATTGAGGGCAGGCGTATATCTGGGGACATGCGCCATCCCGACTGTCACTGGACGGGACGACAGGTCTCTCGTCTGCCGGAATGGCTTGCTGTGGAACGTCGTGTCCTACTTCGTGGCGAGCGGTCTTTGGTCTGTCCTCGAACGTCGGTGTATCCATCCTGATGCAGGGGCGTAGACCTTGGCGTCTCGAAGTACCACCTCGCGCGTCAAGTTTTCGCGAGCAAGACTAGCCACAGTAAATTCCCTTTTGCAAGCAACCGCCAGCAAGTAAGCCCCGACCACTACGAGCAATCGAGGGACGGCAACGGCAGGAACGATCAGTGGCTGCCAAGGCCTTCTCTGAAGGTCGAGCGACGGAGCGAGCTACGGGAGAAAGGGTGAGAAGAGAGGAAAAGAGGGGGCGAGGGGATGTTTGTCTCCCAAAGAGGTTCCTCGGTGGGACTGCTTGCCGTGCTTCAAGTCTAAGAACAAACAAGACCTTGTCCGTCGTTGATCGTTCGTCGGGGGTGTTGGTCGTTACAGTCGGACAACATCAGCGACACAAAAATTTGTGGTGTCGCCGGACAAAAATCGGTGTCTGTCGCTCTAGTGGGACGAGGCTATAACAGCTGCGCTCTAAAACATACAACAAACGACTAAAAAGCCTCACACTCCCGCAAGTAAAAAGCAACAAAAACGACCACCAATGAGTAATCATTAAACAAATCAGGTTCAAAGAAATGTCCCTTTTTTCCCCTTTTTGTTTACTCTCCCCCCTTTTCCTTTTATAGGCGACGAGAACAGATCTAGAAATAGGATATACACCCATACCCGACACTACAATGGGAACGAGACAAAATTGAATTGCACCCCACAAAATTAACTATCTGAATTTCTAAAAACCTCAGGGTGAATTCTTAACACAATATAGTCGAGATTGTTTGCAGGCTTGTTTTCATTGAAGAGACACTTGCTGTGTACTCATAATTGGAGAGGATATATCGGGTTGCCCCGTTTCGGACTGCCTCAAGCTGAGTGATTAAATAATTTAGGTGGAGGTTCCAGATACTGGAGGCATAATCTCGTTTAGGTCGAACAAAGGTTTTGTATGCCAATTCTCAAAGTTTTGGAGAAGCAGCACTCAAGCAACGCCGGATGTAGCCGAGGGTTTTAGATGCTTTGGAAGAAATATAGTGAACTTGGTTAATCCATGTTCTATCGACAACGGCGAGACATTTATGTACCTGAACTTCTACGATGTCATTATGCAACATGTACTGAAAGGAGGTAGGGAATTTCTTTCGTGAAAAACAGATAAATTGGCACTTTGATTTGTTTAGCGACTTGAAGCTTTGGCTGCGTCTGGACTTAAAGGGGTAGGGAAACGAAATTTCAGCGCTCATTTTCTAACTTTAATGTGTTGCATGTCGCACCCTAACCTCAAAAACACCAGTCTTCCGTTGAAAAGCACGAGAAAACTAATTTTAAAGCTAAATAAATGACTTTCAATGTGCACCTGGTGGATGCATGCGGAGCAAATTCGGGAGGTAGTCTAGCAACGTTGTGGAATCTGCTACGTAGTCGTGACGTAGCAGACTCCTTCGGAGCAGCGCCGCTCTTTGGCATTTCAACGTTTTCCTTCTTAGCTTTCCTCCTGAACTCACAAATCGCGTATTGTACCAAACGGTCCAAGAAGACGGAAAGGGAGGACTCCTCTCTTTCTCGGACCCTCGTTTGTGCAACCGGAAACAACCATTCTCCCCCTAGAAGATTAGCCCGTCCCTCAAAACTCGAACAAAAGTCGCTTTCCCCACCCCGTTCAGCCCTAAGCTGACAGTGTTGTGGAAGCTACGTGCTCCATGGACCAGCCACACGCTCGTCACCCCACGGGTACTTCGAACGGCTCGGTTGTAACGCGCTGACGCTATTAACACCACCACAACGCTGACAACGCCACCAAGGGCAGAGCTCATAACCACGTCTGCTTTGCTACTCCACGAACGCGGGAAATCTTTTCTTTCTGTTTTTGTTTGCGCCGGATATCCCATGATGCATCGCGCTCTCCGTTCGCTTCTCTTCAAGCGCTTGCTCGAGTGCACCGTTTGAAACGAAAAATATAGCCAATCGTTCAAAATACAAACGTGCGATTATCATTTACGGTTATTATCCGTCATGCTTGACTCATTTCCGAACGAAATCTGAATATTTCGATTTATGTTTCCGTACCCCTTTAAAATGAAACGAAGTACAGCTTCCGATTTGCTAAACAAACGCCAGTGCGAGTTGGCATCTCTCGTGGCCCGGCAAAGATGTTCTTACGGCAGCTTGATGCGCATGAAGACGTAGCAGGTGAAGAAGGAGACGAGGATGCAGACGAAGCCCGTGCAGATGAGCAGGATCCTGTTGAGCCTCGGGGTGCTCGGGTTGTGGGTGCGGTCCAGGATGACGAAGCCCAGGCCCCCAACCGTGAAGAGGAAGCTCGACGCCAGGCCCTCCATGATGTACTGGCCGTTCACTCGGTACGGCATGAAGGCCACCTGCAGTGTGCCACATCACTTCGCCTACAACGTGGCCGCAAAATAACGCTTTTGCGCAAGACGTTAGAACGCCCACCCAAATAACTTTTCGCTCTGCACTCTCACATTTTCTGAGACCAACTAAATTCGGCCAAACCGAAACCAGAAGACCAGTGCGGAGGAGGAACGTGACGTCAGTCTTGGGAAGGGATTGTCTTTCTGAACCCTATTCTATTCATTATTTAGGACGTAGCCGAGACTAGTCAAAAGTCACCGCGTCCACGCAACCCAGGAAAAAAGAGAGGGGGAGCTCTGAACAGCTGGTCCTCGACGGTTTTCAGACTAAAAAAAAAACTATTTTGAGCCAGCAATATTTCTTCAAAGTTGGACCCTTATGTGGTCCAGGCACGCATGAATACCAGAGGAATCCGCAAGAGTTGGACAATCTTACGGGCTTGCTGTGGCCGTGCTCGTCCACCGTAGATCCGATGCTAGGAGGCTCTACAATCACATCGTAGATGATTCCTGCAGCGCCAAAGGTAGGGTGAGCGCGTGTCGACGGCTTATCTGCGGCTCACGGCGATGCCGGCCGCAGACTTACCTCCGCAGACCAAGAAGTATGACAGCAGTACCAGCGAGTAGACGACCATGGCGGAGGGTTGGTGGAGCCATTGGGGCTTTTTGAGCTTCAGGTTGGGAACTTCGAGAACGTAAAATGGTAAACTGTACAAGAGCTCCATGGCGTGCGCGAGGGACACGAAAACAGCTTCGCCGGCGAGAGATACTGGAAATGACGTACACGTCACAAAATATAGACGGAAACGGAAACAGAATAGACGAATGAGTGGATTTTGCGCCTGATTTCGTGATTTCTGAACCTTGAATCGGGTGGAAGCTAGTGGCCCTAGTCCCCTAGTGGCCACTAGTGGCGGCTTACGCCGACAAGCGACACGCGCAGGACAAGCGTGCGTAGCGCGTGCTGCGTAGCGTTCGGTTGTCTTGTCTGGCCATCTGTTGGGCTCATTCGTCCAAAATTAATTTGCATCAGTCGAGGCACACTTTAGGGTGTGGCGTGTTCGGTGTGGGTGACAGCAGGTGACAGTACCCTTATGCGATCCCTTTGGTTATGACCTGTGGTGCCCTGTGCGCGGTCTTGCGTTTTCGCTAGTCGTCGTGAAGTACGGACGGCAGGGACCTGGTTGTCTTCACCGAGTCTTGGTCTTGGACATGAGCGACTTGCGGCTTTGCTTGGAGCAGCTGTCTTTGAATTAACTTCTACCGCACACTGCCAGAGCTGTTTCGCTCGCTACACCGGTCAGAATGCGGCGACGGGTGGGCGGCGTCGGAGCCATCCAGAAACAACAGCTGACGCAGGCGAGGTTCAAAGACAAGGGCTCTGAACTGGCCGAAGAACAGCTGCAGCAGATGACACGGCAGATGGACGCCTTCCGGACCAAGTTGCAGGCCTTCGCGTCCAAGCACAAGAACGAGATCCGCAAGAACCCGCACTTCCGACGCCAGTTCCAGGAGATGTGCGCCACAGCGGGCGTCGACCCGCTCGCGTCCAGCAAGGGCTTCTGGGCAGACATGCTGGGCGTGGGAGACTTCTACTACGAGCTCGGCGTCCAGGTGGTCGAGGTGTGCCTGGCCACGAGTCACCGCAACGGCGGCCTCATGAGCCTCGAGGAGCTCCGGGACCGGGTGGCCCGGTCCCGCGGCAGTCTGGCGCGCCAGGAGGAAATCAGCCAGGACGACCTGCTCCGGGCCATCGAGAAGCTCGGCACGCTAGGCAAAGGCTTCCGCCTCATCGCCGTCGGCGCCCGCTACCTGGTCCAGTCGGTGCCCACGGAGTTGAGCCTGGACCACACGACGCTCATCAGACAGGCCAGCGCGACTGGCTACGCGTCCCTGGGCTCTCTGGTCAGGGACCTGTCTTGGGACGAGGACAGGGCCAGGAAGGCCCTCGAGGACCTACTCAAGGAGGGCTTGGTGTGGATCGACACCCAAGCGCCCGGCGAATACCTCTACTGGTTTCCGGGACTGCTCAGGCAGTCGTAGACAGTGGTGCGCGTTTGCTCCGACAACTTTTGTATGCAATAAATGAATGTGTAGTACGAGGGAACTTCCTTCCTTCGAGAACCAGCACAGCTTCCCAAAACTGTGCGCGGCACAGCTCACTGCGGGTCCCATCCGCTCTCGTACGCACCATGCTGCAGCAGAACGGCCATCTGATTCACCACAAGCTGCCGACACTGCCTTTGCCAGAATCTCGGCCGAGAAAAACACTTACGCCGTCATTGGGCGAAAATTGAGGGACCACATTTTAGGCCGGAGTAAACACGCCAGTCGGATAAGCATTCCAGGCACCATACCATGAACAACGAAAGCATGAAGGAAACGAATGCCTTCAGTGTTCAGACAGGAGCGGGTTGTTAGGGACAATTAAACTCGTTTGTCCGTCCCTTCTCGTTTTCTTCCCTAAGTTTAACTTCAGTGTTCGTTTCCTTCCATCTGCTGGTCACTTTGGGACAGGTTATTAATCTTTTTAGACAGCATTCTTCTCTCTGCAGGCTTTGTGTGAATCGTTGACCATTTCAGTGAGAGGGCACCGCAGTGAGGTGACTGAAGTTATGGCAGCTGGGATCTATGCCAAGGACCTCCAAAGGAAGATCTTTTTTGCTGCTTGGTTCTCATAGGCAATGTAGCTCCACATACTTCTTCATTAAGACCAATTAAATATTTGCAGTTTAACGATGCCACAATAAAAGTAATAAACAGAATGTGAAATTCTTTTCATCCCCAAGACAAAAAAACAGGCATGACCCATGCAAATTGTGTTCTCATGTGAAACTTGCAAGAGACCCGATTTATAAAACGAGAATAGCCACAAAAGATGGCTCGGCAAAAGAAAAACTTAATGAACACTTAGAAACCCCATTTTCTAATGCAAAAGCATTAACTATCCCATGGAGCGGAGCCAGTGGTGCCTGTAACCGAGAAAGAAATCCCCATTCTCCCAACGGCTGAGCGAAACGGCTCCTAGATAGCCATTGGCGGCTGCTTCACAAGAGCGCGCGCTCGGCCACCGCTGTCGTGTCGGACATTAGCGGCAGGGGAGGGGGGAGGCTGCTGCGGCCGCTTCTGCTCCTCTCGGCGCCAGGCATCCATGTCGGCGGCAGTAGCGAAACATGGCCGTCTACGCCAGTACGGCGCAGACGAACTAAGGGAGCGGAGGAACGACATTCATGCTTTCGCATTCACAACTAACAAGTGCTTAGGTGTCCTCGGAATTTTTTATTTGTTAGTCAACAATAATATTAGTTCACACATGGTTTTAAAATGTCACCAATATGCATGTCATCACCGACATTATGAAATGGGATCACTATAGCGTGTTGATGGTTGTGAAATTCCATTTTCACTCCTGCCAGACAGATTTATGAGAATACCTACATTTTTCGAGTTGCCTGCCTCTCGCGAAAGATTGGTTGTGTTAACGAGTCGGGCAAAACAACAATTACGTGCAAACAATATTCAGACTTTGCTTCTTTTAGTGTCCATTTTAACTTCATACAACCGCACATTCGTAGGATCACACATAATTCTGCGTGGGTTCCCTAGCCAATAATATCTAAAAAAAACCACAAGTCACACCTACCTGAACACCTCAACTGCATGCCTTGGCCGACATTTCGCAACGAAGTGTGGTCGGGTTGCATGTCAGCTTCATGCTCCTCAGACTTCTCGACGTAACTGCTACAATCGCGCTTTCACTTGCAAAAGAACTTCCCCTGAAGACTTGTATTCGTGCGGACGCGGTCCAACCGGAGCGAAGTGGCCCGATCAAAAGTGGTTGCCATGTCTCTGTCCTCTGCCTTGGAGGAAGCGTCACAATGGAGCTTTACTTCTTTTATGGGCTTGTTAGGCAAAGTAGTTTGCACCCTAAAATCCCTTGCACTTGACTAAAAAGAAAATGAGAGGCGCTCTCAAGCAGCTCCGGTGCAGCGTCAGACTTGGCTACTGTGCAACGCAGGCGCACAGCTGGGCACGCAGCGGCGCCAGTGCGTCTGCCGCAGCTATGACGTCACTCCTCTGGAATGCGCAGACCGGCGAGGTGCGCGCGGCGGCGGCGGTGGCTTTAGCGCGTCGGCTGTGTGCCGTATGACATCACTGCTCCTCGCGCATGCGCAGCACGGCTCTCCATGAGCCACATGAAACTGCTCAACCTTGGCCAGTGTAGCTCACGCTACAAAAAAATTCACCAACCTGTTGGGGCATGCATCGTTTTCTTTAAACGTTAACTTGAGGACTACGTTCAAAGCGCATCGAGCAAACCCATGGAGAAATATATCCTCATTTTGACGACCTCCCACAGGACAATAATTTCTAGAACTAAAGGTGGAGAGTAGGCAAGCTAGCTTAATTAAGACTGATGTAATCAATCAAGTTTCAGCTGTGTTTGGAGTTTCGTGTTTGTCCCTTTTTCTTGCTTCAGGGTTACTATGTTGAATGCTACTTAGTAGTTCTTTTACAGTAGCTTTCCACCCTATGAAGGTTCTTGGGGATCTTTAGTTTTTTCACCTCGCAAAATTTAGTACCCCCAAAATCAATCGAAAGTTTAGCTTCTGTCAAATGTACGAATAGAGAGACCAAAAATAACATTGTCCACAGGAGTCAAGTGTATACTGCCACCGTATCACTCTTGTGCACTGACTGAGAGAAGGTTCTTGTCGTCCAAAAAGCGCTTGAAGCTCATATCGAACATCGATTCTATGTTGCAATGCAAGAAATCTAAGGTCATGCTGACCAATGACGGACCTCATTTCGTTTGCCATTTGGGACAATTAATGCGCCCCATTTAGGTTGCTGGAGTTTCCAATAGTCAAAGATTATACAGTGCAATCCACAATTATATTCATGATAAAACCCGAAAATTCTATCGTTATAACCAATTAACATTGTTCTATAGATTAGAAACTGAGCGTTTCTAGTCTAGAAACTGATCGTTATAAGCAGTACATCATTGTCATGATTCTAAGGCATGACATAAAAGGAAGTTGAAGGGGCAAGAAGAAAGAAGATGATGCCACGTGAGACAACGATTTTTGGAGGGGAAGAAAAAGAAGAGGACGGCGTGAGAGTTGTAATCGAAGACTGAGACCGGGAGGAAGCGGCGGATGGGGTCCATGGCTACGCTCCAGGACGCGCCCGACCCTTGCTGTGCACAAGCTGTCGCGGCAAGAGTTCCACACTCCCCTTCAGGTGCCTAGGGTACAAGGGCCTTCGCTGCCTTGGGCAAGTCGCTTCGGTTCGTCGACGCAACGAACTTAAACTGTAAGGCCTGCTCAGAACAGCTTCATTTCTTGGAACTGTAGATGTGCTTAACAGTGTGTGTATTATTTCCCCTTTTACTGTATATATACTCCCATGCTTTCCGTTATATCTTCGTCTTGTTTTTGTAAATATAATGGGTTGTAAATTATTCGTTTTCGGCATCGCCTCTATCGCATTCGCAACGTCTCCGGCCGAACCGTGACAATGGCGAGCCTGCCAGGATACTTCTAACATCCTGATATTACGAAGTCCGAGATGCGCGAATGTTGATAGAGATATGCCGGTACACAGAAGTGTAATTTAGAGCGAGTCATCACTACGTAAAACATGTGCCGGTAGTGAGGACCCAGTCTCATTATTTCAGGGCCATGGAAGTTCCTTCAAAATAACGCTCGTAGTGCAAGGTGTTGAGATGGATCTGCGTAAGGTGCAAGAGATTGGAAACGCTGTACGACTAGAAGGGATCGCACTGAAAGAATGGTTGAACGATTTGCTCGAGGCAGAAAAGGCTGACCTGAGAGAAGAGCAAAAGTGGCAAGAGTTGCTAGAAAAAGAAGGCCAGCGGGGACGTTTTGCCTCGGGAAAGGAACAAGACTGGAGAGAAGAAAGCGCCACGGAAATGGCACGCATAAAGACGGAATGCAACCGCCTGGAGGAAATGATAGCGCTGCTGGAAGCTGCAGAGGAGGCACAAAATGGTGCAGAGATGTGGAAGGATGAGGCCTCACTCCAGAGAGAAGGTCTACAAAGGAGGAAAGCTGCGGAGCTTACGGGAAATTCTGACGAAGCTTGTCCGCTTGTCGCAGAAACCGACAAGATGAAAAGTACGAGAGCGTCCTTCGGAGACTCGCATTCCCATTTAAGAGCTGGTGAGGAAGCTGCAGCTTCAACCCTTGCAAGTGGAGAAGATGCTGAGGTGATGATGCGGCCCATGGTCGTACTGAAGAAGGCCCAGCAAAGCACAGGGAGTGCTAAAGTACGGAGGGCTACTTCTGCTGGTCAGAAAGTAAAGAGGAGAAAACATCTGGCACGGCTGGTTCACCGCAGTGCTCAGTGGAGACGCCGGTTGAACGCTCAAAAGACGCTGCTAGGGCAGTGCAATGGTAAGCTTAGAAGGCCACGAATTGGCGCGCAAGTGAAGGGTCACAGTGTCCGCCACGGAATAAAAATGACAAACAAGAAGCCAGGCGTGCGCTCTGCTGACGTTGAAATTGCGATCTACCCTATCGCGATTGACCGCACTAAGTTAATTTGTTATCCTGAGGTGCTATCGAGCGTTTTGGTGGACTGGACGGGCAAAAGGCCAAGACTGGGAGGGTAGCCGAGCACTATGATTTGATTGCATTCCTGGCTGAAACAATTGGACTGGGTCTTTTTCTTTTTTGCAAGCGTCAATGCTACTGTTTGTAAGCATATCTGTTTTGTATGTGTAGATTCTGCTTGGCAATTTTGAAGTGCTTTCGTCACGAGGAGGGGTATTTTTGTATTCGTGGCTTGTACAAAAAAAAAGTGCAGTATGAAAGGAGGTTGAACTTTGGAAAATAATTACTTTGTGTTATTTTCGGCACGTGGTAGTCAGATTTTCGGAAATGTGCTCCTTCGTTCGGTGATTTTTGTTCTGTACGGAAGTATTCAGTTTTGAAATGATCGTAGCGCTCAGTGATTATGGTTTGAAGGTTCGAAAAGTTTTGTGTATTCAATTATGTCGCTTTTCAAGTGTTCAAAATAGGGGGGACTTTTATACATGGGGGAGTGCATGTTCAAAAAAAAATTAACTACGATTTTGTTTTGAAGATAAGAAAAGTAAGTTAAACGTATCTACGAGTCTTTATATGCATAAAGTACTGCGCAATGCTTGTGAAGAGCCAGAATTTCAGTTTGGTTATTTGTGGGAATTTGGGAAGATGATGCAGCTGCTGCATATCAGTGAGTCAACAATTACATCTTCGGAGGTTCCAAAGGCAGATACAAAAAAGTTTAAATAGTTGAGGATGTTTAGGAATGTCGGAACTTCGATATTTTGCGTCACTTGATTGCGCTTTATTTTTCACGCTGTGTTTCCTGAACGATTGTGATTGGACGCAATGATTTGTGGATGGAAACTCTTCAAGAAGCTTGTGCTGTGAAAGTGCAGCTGTGGAGGATAGCCATTGTGCTCGGTGGTCAACTACCGCAGGACAGCACCTTCTGTAGATGAAGATTTTAAGAAAGAACTTCATGTTATGAAATTCTTGTTTGCGGGGGGTAATGTCATGATTCTAAGGCATGACATAAAAGGAAGTTGAAGGGGCAAGAAGAAAGAAGATGATGCCACGTGAGACAACGATTTTTGGAGGGGAAGAAAAAGAAGAGGACGGCGTGAGAGTTGTAATCGAAGACTGAGACCGGGAGGAAGCGGCGGATGGGGTCCATGGCTACGCTCCAGGACGCGCCCGACCCTTGCTGTGCACAAGCTGTCGCGGCAAGAGTTCCACACTCCCCTTCAGGTGCCTAGGGTACAAGGGCCTTCGCTGCCTTGGGCAAGTCGCTTCGGTTCGTCGACGCAACGAACTTAAACTGTAAGGCCTGCTCAGAACAGCTTCATTTCTTGGAACTGTAGATGTGCTTAACAGTGTGTGTATTATTTCCCCTTTTACTGTATATATACTCCCATGCTTTCCGTTATATCTTCGTCTTGTTTTTGTAAATATAATGGGTTGTAAATTATTCGTTTTCGGCATCGCCTCTATCGCATTCGCAACGTCTCCGGCCGAACCGTGACAATCATTATATCTGGTATTGTTATAAATGGATTGCAGTGTAGTACCACGAAGCATATTATTAAGTCTCGGTGGTCAGATGGGGAAGAGGTCGCAAAAGGTACAATGAAGCCGACAGTGCTAAATCTGCCTTTCGGGCCTTTTTTACTTGCAGCGCAGTAATTACCCAACTAGGTATACACATACATTAGTTACCTTGTATAGTAAAAGTCTCCAACAACTACCAAAATAAAAGGGATCGAGTCACGAGCCAGGAACACCATTTGCAGCCATTTATTCTTTCTATAAGTACGCCAGCACTGGATGTGCCGTCTCGTTGAGTTACCCGGAGGATTTATCACAGCAGCTTAATCCAGGAATCTTAGGCAGAAGGTTATTATTATGTACACTGTTTACATCGCTAGTTCCTCGATAAATGAACCGTAAAATATTCCTTCTTTTATCGTAAAAATTTAACTCTCAGCACCACGTCATAACACGTCCGTGGACGTCTTCCGAGGCTCTCCGGCGTAAAAAATATTGCATCGTGGCCAACAATCGTATAAAACAGGCTTTGAGACGCGACAGATACATTAACTGTTTGATCCCTTTGCAAAACATTGCCGTAACAATGTTCCTCGGGCCATCCAAGACCTTTCCAGGAAAAATGCCGTAAATGCCTTCGGGTCGAACGCCAATCGGCCGAGAAATTTCACGGTGGCGGAGAAATGGCGCAGGGAAGCCCGAGGAACAGGCCACCTCTCGAGGCGCAGCACGCCCCGTGGAATGTGGGAAGCCCCCGGAGGTCTCGGCGGGACAGGCCCTGGCTGGCTGCGAAATCCGAGGCTGGCCAACGTTCTTGCACTCTCCGCCCCTCCGTGCACGGCGATGGACGCACAAGTCCTTTGCACACCGCCGCATTGAGATTCATACCCTCGCCTCTCCCTTTACAATCTTGTCGTAGAGCTTCTCATCTAGAAGGACGTACTCGTTGGCCGTGGAGTCTAGGAAGTAGACCGGGTCCTTGATCTTGTGGATGTCAAATTCTTGCTTCTGCAAGTCCACCTTTTTAATTTTGTAGGTCCCTGAAAAAAATGAATGGACGTATTGAAAGTCACGCTTACATCGAGCAATTCAATTCGATCGAGCTTCTGGAACAGACAAAGCCTGCCGGTTTAGTCGGGGAAATTCTCCGGGATCCTCAAATGAGTAATAAGGAGCCAAATTTGTTCACCATTTCAGGGTCAACATCACCATTGTGAAAGAGATCTTGGAAAATTAAATATGGCACTCAACAAGATGCAAACTGAGAAGTATGGGAGACAAGCACAGACTAACAACTTACCATTTAGCATAGAAAAAAATAGCCCCATCAAGAAAGAAAAAAAAAAAATTCTAACGAACACCCAATTGGTGGCGTAAGGGATCGCTAAATGTCGATAAAGTTAATCTCTTTTTATGCAGATATATTGTCGGCTGGCACGTGCAGTTCTCTGTGCCACCTTTTTTGGTTGCACGTACTCCAAGCACTTCCCTCGCCGCTTTTTCGCAGCTCCCCCCAAAGGTCTTAGTACCTTGGAGCTCCTAGATTATGAAATGGCAGAGTAAAAGGTATGACGGGTCATAGAGCGGAGGTTTTTGAGTAATTTTATCTTAGATTAGGCACGGCCAGAGGATCTCGTTTTAATATTGTACCTTTTCGGGCCATTTGTGAAACGAAAGAGGGTGCAAGCAGTAAGTCGGGCAGATTTTTTTGCTTTCAAGTTGTAGACCAGCCAAGTACGGTAGCCCAGGAGGAAACAAACTTATTTTTCTCGCCTCCCGACTTAAAGGGATCATTAAACGATTTTGAAATCGAATTTCATCCGCCGCACGTCGTAAAGGGCGTGAAAAGAAAACCAAAACACAAAAATAGATAGCCAAAACAATATTTTCGCTATAGAACTTTTAAAAGAAAAACAGACTCTTTTATACCTTGTTTCCTTCGAAAGCTCTGCCCTTTCACAGCGATGCATCCGCGGAGCCACGGCATGTCAATCCCTGTCGCCCATTGGATCAGAGCCAACCTCACCAGCACCGCGATCATAAACAATAAATTTCCGGCGAATGTTTCTTAAAAATTTAGTTAAATAGTATTCTGATCCACAGTTTGTTAAATAATTAGCGATGCGACGGAAATTGCTGAATTTTATAATGCTCGGAGCTATGCACCATCTGTCGTGTGGTAAAAGCAAGAGAAATATAAGACTGCGCCTGCGCTGTTCCTGCTCTCTGCTGAAAAGCATGGCGTCGGTGGTGATTGTTGACATCGTTGGCGTGGTGGAAGCTCATTGTTCAGCATTGAGCGCTATCCTTGACTGAATTCTCGTCGCGATAACCCAGCAAGCCCTAAAAGGAAAGATCTATCTACTCGTGCGGTGGTGTTGTGGCGGCACCCTTGAGACAGCAGAAACACTCGTGCCGTCACCTGTTTACTTTGACTACGGTGCTGCTTTCTTAGCATTTGTCTCCTCGAACATCGCCCGAATTTCTTATTTTGTGCATTCCACGCGTGTGATCAAGTTCAAGATATTACTGGTGCGAACTGTATTTAAAGGCGTGCATGAAGGATGCGAATTTTGACGCGTTTTCATCACCCGAGAAAAGTGATTAGTGTTAGCACTCCTGAACTCTCGCGACGTCTATGTGATCATGAAATTAATTTCTACGTTGCTATATCTCCGCTAAGATTACATTGTCTTTTGCAATCGTAGAAAAGGCGTATGTCGAGATTTGTTTTATCGGTAAAGTCGTGTTTTAAAGTCGCGATCGTCCAAGATGGCGTACTGCATATTTTTCTTTTTTTCATCCCCTCTGCCTAGCGGGCCTATCCTGACAAAATAAAAAGTTAATAAAGCTTGAGCCCATAGAAAACCCTGTGCATTTCCTGCTACGCCAGTGAGTGACAGTGCGTTCCCTTCATTTTAGAGATATCACGAAAACGGCTGACGGCGGCGGAGAAGCGGCTGTTGTGCCGATGACCTGCTGCTCTTCGTACCAACGTTTGAGACCAGTCCCATGCTGTCACTGCAGTGCAACATATCTAATTAAATTTCGCTCAGCTGCAATGTGTCCATGGTTATCGCGCTGATGAGATGCGCCGATTCAGAAAATGTGCCGATGGCATCGGCGCCATTGGCGCAGTGAGACCCCGTGGTAAAACCTACCGGCACACCGCCAGCTCGCCGTTAACGCTCCCATTCGCCTACTGCCCGGTGCCATGGCATGTTACGACCGTCAAAATTACGCCGCAGCTTGTTTTGCGGTGAGTTGGAAAGGACGAAAAACTGAATATATCAATAATTTCTCGTGTAGAAGTTAATCAACCGAAGCGAAAACGGATGCCTGTTCAGATATCGGTGAACATTGGAGGTTCAATATGAAAGTTATTTGGCAAAAGTAAAAAGGTCATTTCATGGTCCCTTTAGATTAGTGGGAAAGAAGTTTCTCGAGGCGCTCTTCAATTAGGAGCGCGGGGGAGCCCTCACCCGTGGCCTCCAGGTCTGCCACAACACGGACGAAGAGGGGAACTGCGTAGGCCGGCAGGACGTTCCTGGCCTCCTTCAGGAAGACCTTCAGGTCCGTCTTCTTGTCCGGATCGCAGATGGCGGCCATTCCGGCCTTTCCTTCCGAACCTGGAAGCCGAGGGAACACGCTCTCGATCATGGTCGACGTTTTGAGTGTCCCTCCCTCTCGCCGTAACTGCAAGCGGAGTCCTTTCAAACGACACCTTTGTCCGATGCGCTGCACTCGCCCTCACAGCTGCTCTTTCGCTCGCAATTACTGGAAAACGTAGTGCGGCACGCAGGGCCGTACCCAGAAAAAAATTTCGGGGGGGGTTTTCGGGGACAACGGCGGCCATTTTGAAAGTGTCTATTGTCTTATTTTCGCCTATGAATCATGTGCATCGGTGGTATATAATGGAGAGTTGCAGCAAACCGGAGAACCGGTCCCGGTTTGGTATCCGGTAGCCGACCGGCGCCACTGCGCGTGCGCAGAGGTGGAGATTAAAATCGGCTGGCTGCAAGTGCACCGACCAGGGCCGTACCCAGAAAAAAATTTCGGGGGGGGTCAGAACCCCCTATCCCCCCCCCTGGTTACGGCCCTGGCGGCACGTAGCCACCCTCCCGCACATTCCAACGAGGCCCTCCTGCCACAATTTGTACCCAACGCAACGTAAAGTTTTCTTCGGTGAAACCTTTTGGTCCGTGGAGGTCCCAGCAGCAGCTGGAAGTCGAACGACATCATCATCTCCTCAGCGTTGGCTCCAAGAATCGCAGCTCGGATGCGAATCGGGAGAGTAATGTGCTGGGAACGGCGTCGCAGAGGGACCTCGCGGAAGACTCGATATACCAGGATAGGGCCGTCCTAAACTCGGGAGATGAAAACGTGAAAAAACAGGTAGAAAAAGAGGCACTGCTGGTATCTCTGTTTTTCTACTTTTCTAACTTTTTTTTTCACGTTCTCGTCCGCTTAGTTCGAGATGGCCCTTTCCTAGTATCATGCACCGACTAGCTCAATTCGAGCCCCCATTACTCGATGACCGACGTTTGGCAGAAAGACCTGTCCCAAGCACCGGCGAAACATTAGATGTCGGGCAAAGTCAACCATGTTCACCGAATCCCGTGCCCCACACTCTAATAAACGTGCCTTGCCAAAGACATATTTTTTCATTTCAATAAAACTGGAGAAATGACCCGACGGGAGCATCTTTTCCACTCAATTTTTGTCGGCGACCGAAGCGGTGAGCCCGACCTGGGATTTCGACCCCGTAGACGGCGCAGTCGGTGAGCCCCGCGATGCGGGCCAGGACCCCCTCCACCTCCGAGGTGGACACATTCTCCCCCTTCCAGCGGAACGTGTCCCCAGTCCGGTCCTTGAAGAACAGGTACCCAAACTCGTCCATCACCAACAGGTCCCCTGCAAACGAAAATCGCACGACCAAACCATAAGCCCAAACGCCACCGTCACTACCACTTGGCTACAATTCCAGGATTTCGGGAGCAAACTTATTTCTGCAAAAATTAAAAAGATAGTTTCTCAGACATTTTTGTTTTCTTTTCTTTTTCTGTAATGAGGCTGGCATTCATCGAAGAACACTTGCATCAAATTCACAAAAGATTGGCATTCATTGGAGCTTAGTTTTGTTAAAAAAAATATACTTCTGTACAAAGGCATCGGGAGACGGGAATCCACTTTAATTGTGTTTGTGAGCAAATATGCCGTACACAAATTTCAGAGTTGCAAAAATCTTTACAGGAACGGCGCGGCAGACTGAACTAGAAACCGGAGCTGCGGTTAGCGCAGCCGCCTACTCAGACTGCATTCTGTTGTGACCCAGGAATACAAAAATGGCGCTGCGAAAGTATCTGAATTTTGTAATGGTAGTTCCGAATAATACGCTATTCTATATTCGCATCGAGACAAACTGCGATTTTGTAAGTGTTGATTATGGCAGGTTAGCCTCGTTGAGTGTGCTTCTCACCGAGCAGCTGTGCACTGCGGGGAAGCAATACCCGCGGCACTCCTGGATGTTGCTTCCCCGCAGTGCGCAGATGTCAGAAGCGCACTCAACGTGGCTAACCGGCCACAATTACGTAAGAGTGTCTGCTATACTTTGTTCGCCTTTAAGCTGAGACTGCAGCCAATGCCACAAGCACGAGAGCGCGAGGTCGCTGCTTCGAAGCGCTTTGCCGAAGAACAAGCACTCGCTTAGAAATGCACATCTCAAAGCAAGGAGCACGGTCTAGCTTTGGCTGCAGTCTCAGCTTAAAGGAGGACGACCAAACCCAAAATTCTGCGAGGCTGTCGTCCTCTCGCGTCTTCGAGCAAATAAGCAAAGGATGGAAAGGGGGGACTAAAAAGGTCGGGCATCCGAGCGCGCCGTTCGGATTCGGGGGTGGTTCATTGTGCGACTATGCGAATGGGGATAAGCCAGCAAGAAGGGTACCTCCACGATGGACGCGTCACAATCTGCGCGTCGGAGGAACCTTCCAGGACCAGGAAACGAGAACCAAGTTTGTTTTTCGCGCTGCAAGGTACGGCAGTACATCTTCGCTAGGTGCTCTTTAATTGGTGCACTTTTTAATCGATGTGAATCGACGCTTCTCTAAACAACTGCCGGAAGCCTGGATCGGAATGCAATTGGCATCAAAACTTCAGGGCCACAAGAAAGGAAGGGTGAAGAAGCTTCTTTGTATGGACTTGGGGGCCAAAGATGAGCTGCAGATAAGCCACGATGTGTACAAAGGGTACAGTGGGAGAACTCAATCCCTCGCGTCCCACTGCATCGAGGGAGCAGAATCTCCCTTCTCGGGAGGCCGTGGCTTATTTCGCTCCAACACTCAAGCGCGCATTTTCCTACTCGCAACTTCTGAACCAGCATCTGCGTGGGGCTGCGCATGCATGGACAATGTTTTCCAAAATCGTCCCCCCCCACTCAATAAAACAAAGTGTAGCACCAAGAAATGCAATCGCCGGCTCTCCTGCTTCCCCCAGCATTGCTCTTCGTCGCTTCTTTCGCCCGCTTACTTGATGCGCCCGGATAATTTTTTCTACTTTCATGTAAAATTTTGTTTTTCTACCAACGAAGAGAATGTAGTGGTGTTAGAAATGTGCTTTGTCGGAACTAACATTCACGCTGTACGTAGATCGGCGGTGCACATTGTGCGTGTGCAAGCAACAGGCCTTGCATTAGTAAAATGTTCTTTCATAAGCATTTCTAGCACGGAACAATAAACTTAATTCGAGTTTTGAGTTTATTATATCGCTTATGCAGCCACACAAGACATCAAAATCCTCTATCCGCATACGCCTAAAGTGCTGTTCCGAATAAAAAAATAAAACAATCGTGCTTAGAAAGGACACTGGAGTGATCTTGCAGACTTGCACTTGCACACATACGACATAGTGGGGCAAAGGCAGTGGCAGCACAAAATGTATTTGTGGTGCTTCGCGGCGATGTTGCACCGACAAACTTAGTACACGCGTTCTCAATTAGAACATTTTCTTCAAAGTTGCGTCGCGTCAATTCTACCTCTTCCACCACATTGGCCACATTTCAAAAGATGAACTGTTTGGTTTTAATTACGGAAACCAAATCAGATTTGTACAAACTTTTAATGTTCTGGTTTCCATAATTTTTGTTACCGGCTTAGCACACCCCGTAAAAAATGGCCAAAGAAAATGCTGCAGAAAAATATTTTCCTATTAGTGTCGAGACCGGTTATAATGAAATAGCGGATATAGCAACGTGATTTCCGATTCCCGTTGACTTCGTTATGACCGATCTCGACGGTATCGGGTCATGGCAACGAGTCGTCGCAAGGGGTCGGGTGCCTACCGGAGGCAAAGGCGGTGTCGCCCTTCTTGAAGACGTCGTGGTAGACTTTCTTCTTGGTCGCGCTCTGGTTGGCGTAGCCGTCGAAGGAGTGGATGTGGTCGTCGCGCACGATCCTGCCGACCAGCTCGCCCACCTCGTCTGCAAACAATGCGGGCAACATCTTTCCGAGGGCTCCTCGAGGCAGCGGCAAAAGACAACGGCACGAGGCGTGCCTCTGCACAACGCAGCACCCCACTGCGTCCGAGGACAACTCGAGCGAGAAAGACGGCAGCTAAATTATCTCGGGACCATGCAGCCTACGAGCAAGACCCGGCCCGGGCACTACAGTTAAACCTCCGAAACCCGATTTTACGAATTTCCCGATTTAACGAACAAATTCGTATTCCCCGCGCAGCCTCTGCCCAAAAAATGTTCTTCCCGAATTTTACGAAATTCCCGATTAAACGAAATAATTAGCGAGTCCCGGTCACTTTGTTACATCGAGGTTCTAGAGTAGTTCCCAAATGCCACATATCGTAGCATCTGCCGGAACCGTCGAGTCGAGCCAACGGAGGCTCTCGACCGGCCGACTCCGAGAGGAATGCACGTAAAACGTCCGTGGGAGAGGTCCGAACAGCTGACCAATTACGCTCCATCGAAAGGCGATGGGAGTGACGGTTTTTGTGGGGGTTTACGAGTCGAGAAGCCCACAATCTCCGGTTCGTGAAAGGAGGATGCCAACATGCTTGCCCTCCGGCCACCGAATCTCCGCCGACGCGGTGGGACGAGGGTTGGATTCGGCGACTCCGGGGAGGGCAGAGGGCGAGAGAGGCGTACCTGGCTCGCAGGGGATGCAGAGACCGCGCTTGTCCCGCAGGGGCTCCCCGGTGTCTTCGTCCACCCGGATCAGCTTGACCGGGTGCACGTTGCTCGCAATGCGGGACACAAAGCCCACCGACCCCACCTTGTTGTCCAGGTTCACTGCCAAGAGAAACACGTCGGCATTCGCCTCCACCGCCGCACGCCTTTCCAAAACGCCACACTTTTTTCGGAGCCGCAGCTACCACGAGCGGAGCGTCGCGAGGTACCGCTTGCGGTTGCGCAGTTACATTCGCCCAAGTTTCCGCCTTTTCCAGCTCCGTTACTTTATCGAAGTTCCCCGGGATTCGGCCGAAGAGAACTGCTAACAACGATCGACCGCAGCGACTTTGGAACAATCGCCTCTCGCGAATGCAAAACAAACTTGCATTTGTATTCGCAAAATCTGTAACTTATTCGTCCCAGTTCCCAACCAACTCGTTGTACTTTTGGCACGATTGAAAGTGGTGTCGAGGCCTTCCCGACGCTCGCGTGTGAAGAGGAATTCCATGAAGGAACACCCTCGGCAAACTTTCCTCGCCCCAGCGAGACATAATGCTACTACCCATAACTTATGCACATACAATTGCCGCATTCTAAAAACACTGCAACCCGGTGATCCACGGCGTCTGACCGGGTTGCCCACACGCTAAATCATCTCTAGTGATTCATATTGCGAGGTGGCTAAGCTGAATCGGCCCCACCAGCGGCGCTCTGCCGCCGCTAAAAGGCCGGCGCAGAAGTATGCGCAACCTTTTTGGAGTCGCGGCGCGTGGCGATAACAGTCAATAAATGACCATGTGTCGTTGAACTAGCGCATTGCGCCATTCTCCGGGGCGGGTGAAAGCGAGGGAAATCCTACCAGTTACGTCGAGATGAGCAATTAGCGGCGTGTTACAATTTAGCAGTTAGCTGCGTACACCAAAAAGCTAGGTTTCCAAAAGGAGCTGTCCACCCTCGGGAATCAATACGTCCCCTCGGTTACTAGGGGTAGGGTCCACCTGGAAGGAGCGAGGGACTCACTGACGTGGGCGTTGCCCTCCGTAGAGCCGTACAGCTCGCGGATGTCTTTAATGTTGAACCTCTCCGTGAACTGGGTCCAGATCTGGGGCCGCAGGCCGTTGCCGAACATCATGCGGATCTTGTGCTGCCTCTCCTGGGGCCTTGTGGGCTGGGCCAGCAGGTAGCGGCAGATCTCTCCAATGTACTGGGTCACCTGCACCCAGCAGGGACCACAAACACCCTCAGCTCATACAGCCACTGCCAAAAACTGGCAAAACATCCGCTAGTATGACAGCTCCATCGACGAATTCAGTACGAATTACATTGGCAGGCGTCGCCCAAGAATCACATTCTTTTTTGTCTCGTATGACACGAGTTCAATCTCGACTTCGCTACGTGTGTTACGGCTGAACCCTGATCAGGCGTCTCCGGTTTATGCAACGTCTCACATTGTACAGACGCAGACGACAAAGCTGGTTTTGACTTCGAGTCTAACCCGAAATGACGCCAGGTGCAAGAAGCCTATAAAGCTACCACTTTAAAAGGTGAGGAGTCTCGGCACGTTCTCTGCTCATTATTTCCGCCCTTTCTGCAGTTCAAATGCTCTCAAGGAATGACGGTACCGTCACGACCCTCGTAGTGCCGGCAGTGTTGAAAACTTCAGGATGCTGCACTCGTCGCCACTTTTGAGCACTACGCAAGATGCCGACGACACTCGCCGACCGCGACTCGGTGCCACTCGACGATGCTGACGAAAAAGAAACACCTCGATGCCGACACTTAGAACGAAATGAACGCCAAGTTGCGTGTACCGGATGCCACCTTTTCGTAGCATCCGGCAGTTTGCGTACGCCTCCAATGGCGCCTTAGCTCCTAAGGTTTGTAGCCCTGAATAAGAAATTACCTTTCCCTTTGAGAAAAAGAGCTGAGATGAAAATAAAGTTCTACCAGCGAATGTACTGCACAACTCTTCAATCTTGTTTTCTTTTATTCCGAGATTTTAACTTCGTAGTCAAGCAGATTATTAGCTCAGAACTAATTATACAAGTTCCACATATTTTTGTTCTGCAGGGTCCAGCACCGAAGTCGTAATCATTACTTTTAAATTATACAACTCGCAGATTATATAATGTTTTTGCAGTCGCGTAAGAGCGGTACAATCCGATTTCCACTCTAACGAGAAAAAAGGAATATTAGCTCGAAGAAACTTCTTTTTTCACGCTGCTGTCTGGGACCCACGGGGAGAAAATGCTTTCCCTCTGAAACCTCCCTTAGACGACGTAAACTCCACAAATTGTTGCATTCCATACAGATTACTCAATTCTGTCACATACCCAAATTTGGCTCATTTTCGGTCTTTTGCGAGTGCTCGGCAAATGACCCGGAATATTTCTGCGGCACAAAATCGGACATTTCCTCCAAATGCAGACTAGTTCCAAAAGAGCACAGGCCGAACAAACACCGTAACAACATCTCTACTGCAAGTCGGAGCCCGAGCTACGGCTAGCGGCCAAGAGCAAAGCTCACGACGGAACTCGTCGACCCTCGGTCAAACGGAACGGCCCTTACGTACGAATTAAAAGTGAGTTTGGGCGCAACCGAATACGAGCCAACCGGGCGTCGACCGGCTCCGAGACGGAAGCACCGAGTGAGCGAAACGAGGCTTACGGTGCAGTCATACTTGATGCAGTCGTCCCAGAAGCGGGAGGCGGAGAACTTTGGGCGAATGGCCACGGTGTTGCCGAAGAGCAGGGCCTGCCCCACGGCCAGAATGCCCCCGGACGTGTGGTACAGGGGCAGGGCGCTGTACAGCACATCCTCCTCCCGGACGGGCATCATGTACTTGGCCGCGGACGCCATCGACAGGTACCTGGGACCACGCGGGCACACTCGTTGCCCCCAAACAGTCACTTATGCCTAGCGGGGCCGTCCCTACACATTTCCAAAATAGGAATTTGTCACGGTGGTCCCGTGGAACACGATCAACGCGTACGAAATCGGCCAGGACTTGGTTTTAGCTCGTTAAACGATTATTTTCGTAGTAGAGGCATTCGTTATAAAGGCATCCGACTGACACTTTGCAACTCGGACAGTCTGTAATGCTTCCGGCTCCTCCGAGCTGATTGAACACCATTATAGCTCATTCCGTTAGTTCGGAAGTAAATCAAATAAAGATTTAATTTTCTTCAACCTTCAGTAATAGCCTAACAATGCAGAGAGCTGGGCTCGTTGGTGCAAGTGTGTGTTCCTTTCCCCCGTCTTCGTTGTCACGCGCCATTACGCCCACACCCTGCAATAGTAATACTTGAAAACTCCTGTAGGTGAAAACGAAAGCGAGGGCCACGCTCCCATCGAGAATAAAGGGCAGTTCCTTTATTGCAGCCTCGCATCCATTGCTTTCTTGACGCTGCAAGTCATGACGTTCCAACGAAGACTCGGCAACCGGGCAAAAAATGTGCAACATCAAAGTTTTGGCGTGAGCAATTCCTCGATTTAGACTAAAATTAAATAAACTCGCGTTTCTATAGTCAGTGGCCTTACTAAGCCCATTTCCCGCGGAATGAGCAAACAAGAACTAGCGCGGCTAAAGCGCCGGGTTTCGACAAAACCGCAAAGCACCGTTCTGGCATTACAGTACTACTTTTACCGAGACCAAGTAAATGCTACAGCACTCCTTAAAGCAAAAAAGTTTGGTACAAGGGACCAAAAAAAAATTTTTGTTGCTTTTCATTTATTATTGAGCTGTTTCCGCACCCGCTGCATCGTTACATTCTTCCGACAATTCACAATGTGCTCAGTGTTGTGACCAATCTCTGAAGTCGACCAATAATCGACGACCAGTTTATAATGAGCTACGTCGCACTCTATACGATTGCAGCTAAAAAACACTGTGCGAAAGGCGTAGAGGGGCCTCAAACTCCCGGGACCTAGTTGGGGCCCACCTGCTGTGCTTGATGATGGCCGCCTTGGGGAGGCCGGTCGTCCCGGACGTGTAGATGTACACCAGCTTGTCTGCAAGAGGCCACACCCGACACGCTCAGTGACGTCGCAGCCCGGCAGCAGTCTCGCGAGAGCAACGCTGGGTTCCCAATTATTCTGACTGGGCCAACTTCAAGCCTAATTCAGCGGTCGCAATGGGAAGAAAGGAAAGAGATCCTCAATATCCCTCTTGGGAAACCGATTAACTGATGGCGTCAATGATGGCCCCTCAATGGAGGTGGAAGACAGAGGTGTGGCCCCGCAGGACGGCGGGAGAGGTCGTTTGTTTTGAGGAAAGAGAGCGAGGGGGTCCTCAACCAGATCGTTGTGCCCAGCTCGCGGAAGATGCTCCGGTTCCGGTACTTGGCACTTGCCCTTGCACGCTATGTTTCCGGACAAAATTCTGTCTCAAAACTAGTGATGGGCCGAACCTTCGCCGAATCGAAAATTAGGCACCCAATTTTGGGATTCAGCAAAGTCTAAGTTTTGCTAAACTTTTCTAAAGATTCGGCAAAAATACAGCGTTGCCAAGCTTAAAAGTTTATTTTTCGTTTTTCGGGCAAAAAAAGATTTTGTATTTCTTTCCAAAGCATATTGACACGGTTTTTACTAAATCAGGTGATATTCTACCAGATAATTGTAGTGGTGTCGTTTTTGAGTGCTTACTGGCAATTTTACTTTGACTTTTTGCTGAAGTGGCGCGACGAGGTTGGGGTAGTGGGCGCAGTCACAATACACGAGTTTGGGTTTTGAGGCCTCATGAGCGCGAGCCTGCGAGTGTTCACGCTGTTAAAATAAAGGTGGTAAGACTGTGTTCTTACTTCCTCCGCAAGTCATCGTTGCGCGCGCGAAAACGAATGCAACAGCTGCTAAGCCTTCACCAGAAGAGATAACAATGTTCTTGTAAGTACACGCATTCTTTTAGACTCGAGTCACTTGACGCCAACTTTGCACGAAAGTGTGCGTCCCATACTCGCATTGTTTCCTTTTTAACTTTTAAAATGCAAGTTTCTGATTTTAGGACAGACACACGCGGACCTTTAGGAAGACGGGAAGAGTTAGCAATGTCGGATGTGCATCGTCGAGCATAATAGTTTGGTTTTATGCGGATAGATGAAAACCGCAAAATAAAGCTTATTAAAAAGCAATATTATTTTGTTTTGGCACAAACTACTTGCGAGCCAAAAACAGAATTTCGCTATAACTACGAGGGGTGCTTTAAAGTACTTGTCAGTCAACATTGCAACTACCTCGTTGCACCACTGGAAAGATGAAATGAAAATCACGTTATCCAGAATGTAGCGCATCATTCTTGCACAGTGGACTGCTTCAAATCCTGATCGATCTTCTGTTCTTGAGGCAGAAAATATTGAAGAGAACCGCACGCGCAAGGCTGTCAAACACGCAGTTATCATCTCTCCTACTCCGCACCTCGCCATAACCGCCGGTAGTACTACACTGAACGACGGGTAACCACACGACACTCATTTGCTATCCATGGCCCCGTGGCCCCCTCGCCATGTCATGTTCTTGCGCGTGCGCAGATGTTTGCCAAACTTCCCTTCAAACGGCATGTGCCGAACTTTGCAGAAGCTGCAAAGACCGCCGTGTTCTCGCCTACCAAGGGCTCGTGTGTTTGTCGATGGTCTGGTAACTGATCAAACCTGATCAAAACAGAAATTGATCAAATTTATGTATTTTTCGCTCCTCATTTTATCGGTTGCTCTTCGCTCGCTGCCAGATCGTGCTCGGCCTACTGGGAACGTTTTTGCCGAAGCATGGAAAGGATCTGCGTTTTCAATTTCCGTCTCTGGCGTAGAACAAGTTGGTGCCAACTGTGGCCCCAAACGTTTTGCACTGAGCGATGCTCGGGTAACTCAACATTCATTAAAAACGACCGACGCAATGCTCGCCGTTCGTCAGCTCGTATGCACGGCGTGAATGCCAAGCGATTCTGGCGGCACCACTGGCTCGTTACACGCTTCCGATAGCCTAGATATGGACGTGGCAAAGCAAAGTTCAAGTATGTACCGCACATTCATTCAGTTGAGGCACTTGTATACAAAAACAGTTGCGAGCGAAGGTCTTTTCTACAGAAAAAACTGACTTTACAATAGAAGAGGGGTTCTACCGTATGTAGCACATAATGCGTGTACCACGAAAGGCTCTAGCTTTTTCTCGCACAAATTACGTGCGGAAAAAAGAAGTTTTGGCGCGTTACACAATGCCCGCATCCTCAATAGTATAAGTTTCATAAACGCGTTTGTGGCAGGCACGGGGGGCAGGAACCCACCGTGGATGCTTCCCCTGTAGTCGATGTCTGGCGCCACGGGCGAAGCATTCTTGATGAGCTCCTCCAGGTCTGTGGCGGGCAGGGGCTGGGTGTCCGAGCTCCCGTAGCAGTAGTAGCGGTAGTCTCCCTTCTGCATCACAACCGACCCAATGTCTTTCATGGCTGGAAGAGAGCAAAAGGCAAACGCATCACACTCCCGACGAGTGGACGTCTAACCCGCTCCATCTGCCTACGGGAGAGAGAAAAATGTCCCGCTCGAGGAAGAAGCGAGCAAAGCTGCAAGAGCAAAGAGTGCAAAGGCTTCGAAGGATGCCTATTATGACCTCCCCTTTTTACGACACCCGACGCAACGATCCACAAATTATCTGCACGTGCATTTTAAGGCTGCTAAACCATCCGTAACGTCCTTTAATCCCTCTCTCCAAATGTGTGGACAATTTTTCTCTATGTGCAGATGATGCCCATCCAAAGAGGCCGGGAAAGCGACCGGGTCCACCCGCGTCCCGTCCTTCTTGCACGATCGAGGTGTTCTGTCGGGCACCGGTAAAAGGGCGAATGACCCGGCAGCCGAGGAAGGACGCGCGTCGTGTCAAGGCTGTGGTTGGTGCATCGAGTGCGGCACCATTTACGGATGCTCGGCGTAGACTGACCAATTTGTTCTTCCTCGACTTCCTTGTCTGATCGAGGTTTGAGAAAGAAAAAAAAAACTCAGAATCAGACGCCAGATTTTTTTATACGGGACCCGAGGCAGCTCGCAGCGGTTCATTTGTAGGTTTCGGAACTTGTGAAGAATATGGATGGAGTCTAGTACTAAAGAAGAGACTATAAAGACGAGACTATATATCTCTCGGCACATTTTTAACCCATTCGCCACCGCGCGTATCACGTGCTGCCGGGTCATCCATACCGCATGTTTTTCCCTAAACAGGGCCACACTAGGCGTGACTGTTTTGCTTGTACAATAAGCTTTTACAGTAAAACTCAGTGCAGAAAAAAAGAAAGCATGTTTGTTTACATGCTGAAGTGGTTCGTTCGAGTCTTTAAATCAATAGGCCCTCGAAGATTCTTCCTCGTATGAAAGATCTCGAAGCACTCCACCCCCGGTCGCTTAAGCGTCGCACAACCAGTGCGCTCTTGTTGTGATTCGGACTCGGAACTGCCGTCAGAATCACTCCCGTCGTCGACAAAAGGCTCCGAAAGCTCACTATCCTCACCAGACGTCCCGTTGTAATCGCTGTCGAAGAGGATATATATGATTTCATCGTCGGAAAGGCCTCACTGTACACTGGATGCTGCCATCTTCTCCAAGCAGGCAGCGATTGAGCAGTATAGACAACACACAAACAAACAAGCTCAAACAAACACAACAAACAGAATGACCGTCCCCATCTGTTAACAATGTATCTAACTACACTACCGCAAGTTTACATAGGGTGCCATCTATGAATGGCTCTTTAAAACAGAAATTTGTACAGACCGGCGAATCACCGGCTTTGGCAATATGGCCCCTGATGGCACGCTTGGCGATTCGCCGGCTTTGGTAGCGAATGGGTTAAAGGACCTCGGAGAAGGTATTCTTGCGCAGAATGTTGAACCCAGATTCTTATTGGTTCGGGTGCAAGTTTACTCCTTTCGTTTCTCAAAGACAGGAAGCCAAAAATACCCTTCCGACGTAACATTTGAAAAATTAGACAACAACTCCCTGGCTTCCTCCCTCCTGACATTCCCACGGAGAATAATTTTTGTTTGTCGGCAGCCCTTACCATGTTTTAGTAAATGGCAATGCATGTTTTAGTAAATGGCAATCGGGCGTCATTTGGACAATCGTATTTGTGTCTCCAGCCGACAGCGATCCTCCGATGTTCCCACTTTTCGCCGTAGAGGCGGGGCTCTAAAGAGAGGGAACGTGCGGCAGACAACTGATGAAATTCCCCTGGTGGGCAGCAGCACATCCGCTTTGCACGCTGGGCAACATTTGCTCCATGGAGCCAGACAAAATGCAGAGGTGGTTGAAGCTGGTAGGAAAGAGTGGAAATCTCCCCTTAACCTCAAAGGGGCCAACAGGAAGCGGTCGTCACCACTTTAAGAATACCAAAAGATAATTTTCAAACACCCGTTGTCTTTCAGTTTTGTGCAGGCATAGCATACACCTTGTATGTCAGATTGGCACCCTTCGTTATGCTCTCGGGGATCACCTTCAGCGGCAGGACTAAACAATGGGCCTTTCTGCGTGCCGACGTTACATACACGTCCTTCATAAACTAGCGTTAACTCTGGGCACTGCACGTTTGCAGAGAGATAACTAACAAAAAGGCATCCAATGCCCGAAACGTGAAATGCTGCCAAAGCGCCATCATTGCCGAGTGACGTCAAAGATACGCCCGCCTCACCTGGAGGCCATGGTTCGGACTCGCGAGGAATCCGTTGCAAGTAACCCAATTTCGGTAACTTATAATTAATTTGCTACTTTCCGAAAATGCATCCCGTAATGTAATTTAAGTACTACGGGAATTAAGAATTACTGGCAATTACTCGTTACATTTTTGCCATCTCTCAGACTGAAAAGAACGAGCGAAAAAAGGGCGACAGCTGCATGCTCGGTTCCAATGCGGAGAGAGGGGGTCCGTCGGCGGCGAGACGGGGAGCGAGGGAGAGGAATCGAATGAACCAAAAACAAGATGGCCAGAGTCCTTGTTTCCGGGCTCAGACGCTCGTACGCTTGGCCAGGGTGCGAGGGTTCCACCACAGTGGCAACGGTACTCGCCCAGAAAGCGCATGAACCGCTTCGAGCACAAACTCGCGAGAGGGCAGAAAAACAATGATCCGTAAAAAGGTCGCGCGACATCGGTGAAGAGCCGCGGTGCGTTTGTTCGTCATTACCCCCGCTTTGCCCCTTCCCCCTCCCCTCTCCCCCTCCGAAAAATTCCATCTTTTTGTAATATTACACTAAGCCAGAAGCACCAGGAGGGGCAGAAATCAGCCAATTATTCGTCAACGTTACTGCCTACGTGCATTCACATTTTTTTTTACGGGCGAAGCTCCTTAGGGTTTAGCCTTGTCCAGTGTCCGTGCTCACATCGATTGCCATCCCATCTGTCTTTTTAAAAAAAGAAAAAAATTTTTGCGCAGTCGACAAGATTTGAACCTGTGCAAGGAGACCCCAATGGATTTCTAGTCCATCGCCTTAAAGGGGCACTGACACATCAAAATCATATTTTTTTTTATTATCCGAAACGATTGAAAACGATGCCGGGACATTACCCTCAAAATTTGAGATTTGGGAATTCAGTATTCGTGAAGTAAAAAAACAATTTCCAAATGCCGAATTCGAAGTTCCCGCGCGATCGGCGCCGGTGCCTTGACACTGTGGGGATTGTGATCCCTCAACATTCTGTCGCGTCAGCGTTTTGGCGCGCCGTGGCGGCCGCGCTGGCGTAGCGAGAGGCGGCGCTGCTTACCACTGTGAGTGGCTTCCTCCTCTCCCCCCTTGGGGCGATTTCCGTAACGAACCCCCGCACAAAGGAGATCGACGTGTCGCTCCTTGATTGGCCACTTCGCCCCCGCCGTTATCTTAAAACCAGCGGACAGCAGTCTCGCGTCTCTTCTTCCTGGGATTCGGCGGCGGCGACAACGGGGACCCTTCCGGCGCACCGGTGAGCGTTTACCCCGTACTTTGTACCTTTGTGAACGACCGTTCGGCCGTGGGCGATCTCCACACCGACGGCGTTCACCAGCTTATAGCCGCTGTGTTGTTGTTATTTTGTTTCATTGTAAATAAACAGTTTATCACCGTTACCAACGTGACTGGTGTCTGTTTGCGCTCAACGAGCAGCATGCCACGCGAGTACGAACCCGCTTCGCGGTAGAGCGTCTCGCCGCGAGCGTGGTACTCCCAAAGGCAGTGGCCCTAAGGAGAACCACAATTTGGCGCCCAACAAAAGGGCTCACGACCAGAATCCTGGTACGTCTGTGTGTGGCGACTGCTGCCGAGTGACGAGTCCTCGCGCAACCAGCGCTTACTGTGACAATGCAGACCGACTTCTCGGATTTGCTCACGCTGGCGACCGCGGCCGACGCAATCGCGCGGCCCCCACTTCAACGGGAAGCCGAAATGCCTACCCTCCAACGAGAAGCGCCCTATGGCGCACCCCTGGAGCCGAGCGTGGTTCTGACGCCATTGCGGACGGGCGCCATCGCTCCCGGATCTTCCCTGAACGCACGTGTTCCGCCGCCGGCACAAAGCGAAGCCTACCGGTCTCCCCACGGAGAAACCGCTGCGGCGCCTCATCACACCTTGCTCGAAAACGCGGCACGTGTGATTGAGAGTCTGACAGGTGCGTTGCGAACGACAACACTCGCACCACAGGCCCAACGACCTCCGGTCCGAATTCCCGCCCCGACTTATCGGGGTTACGCAGACAAAGCGAGCGCTACGGACTTCCTTGACGATTTACGGAAGTACCAACGCGCGATGGGAATGTCCGATCGTGAAATACTTGAGCGCATTCTGCCAATCGCGCTCGTCGACGAAGCCGCCCGCTGGTTCCGACTTGTCGGTGACCAACCCGCCGGAACGCTCGATCAGTTCCGAGAGGCGTTCCGCCGCGAATTCCTTCCCGCCGACTACGAGAGAAGGATGCGGCGGGAGCTCGAACAGCGAACCCAGCATCCGGACGAGTCCCTGCTGGAGTTCGTACGAGCCATGCAAGAGCTTTTCGAGCTCGCAGAACCCTCAGCTCCCAATGCAGAGCGAGTGGAACGCGTCATACGCCAAAGCCATCCGACTTTCGCTGCGTATCTTCGAGGCAGCCGTTTCCGCGACCTGAACGAGCTCGCCTCCGAGGCCCGGCGCCTTCAGGGTGACATTCTCGCTGCCCGTGCGTACCGGCCTCCGCCTCCAGCGTCAGCGGCCCTCGAACCGCGCTGCGCGTGGAGCGGGGACACGCCATCCCGAGCACCAAGGCGCTACGATTCCGCAAACTATGCGGAAGATCGGGGCCGAGACACGTACGCAATCTCAGATCGTGCGCTCGACCCGTACTCCTACGGTAGACGAACAAGCCGGCCGACGCCGCAGTTCAGAACCACCGACTCGCGCCCCAACGAGGCAGCGAGGCAGGAGGAAACGAGGATCCCTCAATCTCAGCGAGCCGATGCACGCT